TACAATAAGAGAACTTAAAAAAAAAACAAGAAAAATTTAGAGTAAATCTAAAAATCTCTCAATTATTTCTTTTTAGTTTTAAAAATGCTTAAATAAAAAAATATATATCCTAAACTTACAAATAAATCCTAAAAGAAAATAAAAAGTGGCATTGAAAGTCTTGTAGTTTAATAGTCTCACCACCTATAACTCAAATTTACATTTGGTGACATATTTTATATTTTCCTCTCTCTTCTTTTGTCATTCAGATTTCTTTAAAAAATTATTGTGGAGATAATTTTTGAAAAAGAAAAGGAGAGAATATATTTTATAATTAAAAAAATATATATTATTTATAATAATAAATATTTTAAGTTTATATTAATTATTATTTTATATCTTTTATTTTAAAAAATATTTATTTAAAAGAGAAAATTTGTCATTCCTACTCCTTTCCTTTCAAATATTTTTTCCAAACAATTCTTAAATGAGAAATATTAGAAAAACGTTTTAAATCGTTTAATTTTTCAAAATCTCCATAAAATTTTCTCAATGTTCTAAATATAATTATGTTTTAGAACGTATCTCTCACTATAATTTTGGTAAAATCCAGGATACCAGTATCCGTACAATTTTTTCTTTTTAGGGACGATCGAAACCTATATTTCAAGTTAAAATTTATTATTATTGAAGTCACATCATATGAATTGAAGCATGCATAATGATGCTATCGGAGCTGAATTATGTATCTATATTTATTGTTGAATTGGTCAGTAATACTCGACTTATACTATTTGAAGAAGATTGAAAGATAACGATCAAAGATATTTACTTAAGTACTTCAGATATTGTGATTTAAAGTAGTTATTTATTTATTTGTTTGAAGAAATATATTCAAAATCAAGAAATGCGTGTATAGGGTGACTAAATGTCCACGCAAATGCTTTGAATTCTCTATATCTAATAACATGCATGTTGCAGTAATTATATAGTTAATGTGTTTTCACTCATTTGTAGTGTTGCACCGCAAGGCTAATTTAAAACACAAATTAAGAAACATTGGTTTATATACAAATTTAGAGGCATAAAGAAAATGTCATGGTAATCTATTTCATCCTTATTCAAAGAAGAGTCAAATTGTACAAAAATAATTGCCAATTATTGGTGGAACCTGTGTCGATGAAAAGATGTCATATGGAGCAAGTGTTTTTTTTTATATTATTATTATAAATTTATCTTTTAATTATAAATATCATTAAAGATTCATAACACCTTTTCACGTTGCTATACTCACTTGTAAGTATTGCACCCACCAGACTTATTTGAATTAGATAAATTGACGAAATTTTTATAAATAAAGAGAGGTTGATATATAGAATTTCAACGCAACAATCTTTACATTTCATTCTCAATAAATAGCAATATCGTACAAATTAACAGCATGTCAATGATGGAGAATTAAAATTGAGTAATTTAACAACGCAAACACAGGCAGCACATCCGACATAAAGCCTGACTTTTGAGGATGACATCTCCACTAAACTAATTCTATAATCCATTAGCTTATAATTAATACATGATAAGTTATATATATATATATATATATATATATATATATATATATATTCCTTTTAAGTTTCATACTTTTAAAACTTATCTCTTTATATTTTTATTATATTTAAAAATGAAATTTTGTATCATTTGATAAAATAGTATAAATATAATCAATATACTAAGTTAGAGTATTTTACATTAATTAAATTTCAATCGATCTAGTAAGTAACAATTTTCTATATTATTTATATCAAAATTTATCTAAAATGTTAGGTTTTTATCTATTTTACAGGAGAATTTAATTTCATACTTGAAATTTAGATCATAGTGTAATATCATTAGTGTTATTTGATTAATAAGAAAAATCTAAACCTATATTTATATATTATTATTATTATTATTATTATTATTTGGAGTCTTTTCAACAGTATTCAAGGACCTTGAGCAATATAATTATTTTGGTCTAGCTTATTAGAATTTTTACCTTCTTATGAATCATGTAACTTTTTCATTGACCATTGTGAGTTTCACTCTCAAATAAAATCTTTTGATGCAAATTGTGTTTAATTTTAATCTCATTTGTACATGTTTTAAGATTATTTAGACAATGTTCTAACACATGACTATATCTTCCACAAGAGAAACACATGAGACAAAAACCTTTATATTTTATTTTAAACTATTAACCCAAGACCTTCAACAAGAAAATTAACTTCCTTCTAAGATCTAATTTCACACATATCTTACTAAACTTTGCTTTAATTAAGATCAGGGTGTTATTATCAATTTTTAGCGTTGTTCTTAAAAAGGACTATACTTGTCACAAAAATTTACTATCATATAATTTTAATGGGAGATTAGAAATTCTAATCCAAACAACTACTTTTTTAAAAGAGTACTTGACTCAAAAAGAGGTTTCCAACATTGAACCTAAGGTCCTTCAAGCAAAATATTTTTATAATCTTCCATGTGATCAAACTTAACAAAAAAAAAAAATCTTCATTTAAATTTAGTACTTTCATGTCTCCATTTTTACTCCAAATATTTTTCAACTTTATATCTAAATATTTATACCAATTTTCATGGTCTTTAAGAGGAGCTTTAATATGAAGATAGGAATTATTATGAGAAATATCAGGAAAGTCTTTATCTTTATCAAAGTTAAGGTTAAAATCTTTCATATCAAACTCTAATTTTAGGTCATTCTAGCAAGAATCTTTCATCATGGCCTCTTTCAAAATGATTTGATCTTTTTCCTTCTCCTTCTACATATCCTTCATTGTTTTAACCTTCTTGACACTTTGAGTAGGTGAATCTTCCTTCTCTGATAAGTCTAAACTTGAAGCTTCCATCCCTTTTGAAGTCTTCTTCACAACTTGTATTGGGTTCTTATAGAAGGAAATTAGTTGTTATAAGCTTCTGCCACAACCAATTTATCAAAATTCTCAACTTAAGCGACATGATAAGTCAAGTTTTAATAAATGATAACTTGAACTATAGCATTTATTATCTTAAATAAATTAAATTTTAGTTTCGATCTCTTTCTTTTATTGTAATAGTTCTCATGAGTGGCTAAATTTTCTTTAAGATTGAATGTAATCTTTAACTCAAATATATTTTGATGATCTTAAATGTTATAAAACTTAACTCATGAATGTATGTGCAATTGTTCATATTTATTGTTAAGTGTTTAATTGGGCAATTGAATGTGGTGGATGAATTTATTATTAGAAATTTTTTACATACACAAATACTTGAACATGAGACCTCTTGCTTAAGCAATACTAAGTCGCTTATCACTAGGACCAACCTTCAATCTTCGTCATATTTATTTAATAACTACAAAATAAGTTTTTATAATATGAATCTAACAACAAAAGATAATGTATTCAAGGTAATATTTAAAGAATATGCTAGCATCATTTTTTTTACAATGTGTAAGAATCTAAACTATTCGGGCCGCTTGTTTAATATAGCAACTGTATTTTTAGTCTACAGCTCAAAGATTAAAGTGAAATATCTTCTGGTAATTGATTCATATGTCCAAATTTTATTCAAAAGATAATTGTGCTTAATTTCTTAAAATTAAATTCAAGAATTAACATTATAAAGCTGAATAAAAAGCAACAAATGCACATAGAAAAGAGATTTTTTCTTATTTTGTGGGAGTCGTTGTCGCGGGACACAGAGTAATTAAATTATACTTATTGTCCCTAACTTTAGGGGTTGGATTTTATATTAAAAAAATCAAATTTATGATGGAACTAGACTAAAGATATAGTTCACTTTTTTCAAACCTATCTTTAGTTTGTATTTTGTTAAATATATTTATTTAGTTTTGGAAAAGTGCTTCAAGACCAGTTTATAATCGGTTAGTACTGAATAAGGAGCAACATGGTGCCATAGCTGGCCTCCACACACGCCGCATGCCTACCTCTTCTCCATCACCAACTTCTCAAATCCTCCTTTACAATAACAATCTCACACCTATTTGTGATTTTATTTAATTATATAAAAATAGTTTTTAAATAAAAATATGCTTATATTATACAAATATTTTTAATTTAATAAATTTTAAAAATAGTAAGTAATTTTTTTTATTAATAATCAATATTTTATTCTATTAAATAAGACTAAATTAAAAAACTAGATTTTTTAAAATAAATATTCAATATAAAAAAATGCATAGCATAATTAGAAGAAAATAGTACTTTTAAAATTGTTTTCATTTAAAATAAAGAACTAGGTAGACTAATACAAATTACTTTAGCCTGAAAATTTATTTATATTATTTGACTTTTTAAAAATGGATTGATTTGAACTATGGTTTAGTTTGGTTTAAATGGGTATCATACAAATCCTGCTTAATGTATCATTAAAAGGAAATTCATTAACCCATGGTTTCAGTTTACCACACATGCACTAGGTCGTATATCCCTAGAGTATGACTTGCTCTATTTCGTATTAAAAATTATATTAATTTATAATTGTGTTTAGACTTTAGAGTCTAAGATTTTAATCTGAGACCGTCTTAAGAAATACATTAAAAACTTTGTCTTGTCAAAAAGTTATAATAGTCTTGATTTTGTTATATATACTCAAAATTGCATACTTTTTACATGTTTAGTTTTTTTTTCTCATCATATGATTTATAAACAAAACATATAAATAATATCATAACGATTTTTAATATTTTTCATCGATGAAAATTAGAAAAGTATATTGATATTTAACGTCAACATTTATTATTGAAAGTTCTGAGATAAAATTTAACTTATAATTAAAAAATAGCACCAAAATATCTATAATACACAACATAAACTTTGTCCTTATATGCGCACCACTTTATTTGGTTAATAAATAGCGAAGTTGGGTATGAAGAAAATCCCTTTTTGTATACGGTGTAGGCAACATCAAGGACACAGCAAAAAGTGAAGAGATATGTGACAAAGGTCGGAAATGGTGTATTTGACGGTATATGACGTAATAAAAATGTATCTAACTTCACTTTGGGAATTTATATTTTGGGCACCTACTTACCATATAGAATATACGAAGAGGCACGCTTGGGAGATTATAAAAGGGTCACTAGCCATCAAGTCCCTGCCACTTGGGTTTTACATAGAAATCACATTTCTTAGATAGCTCCATAAACGATGGAGGGGACCAACCAAAATATATGCAGCTACGTCGCTGACACGATTGAACTGCAAATTCCCAGCACTCCCGAGTCATCATCCCCTTCTCTTTCTTTCACAAGACTTGCAGAGAGTTACCCTCCTGGCTTTACTAGAAAGGTAACTAAGGAAAAAAGTGAAAAAACCCATTCATTCTTAGATGCTTATGAATTATTAGTATTATCGTTTACATCAGTAATAATAATTAGTCTCTTAATTTTGATCATTTTACAAAGAAACTTATTTTATAAATCAACTCAGACATATATTTATTACTCTTCATTAATCAATATCCAGGCTTGTTAATAATTTTATTCTTTGAAGGAGTTTAGTTTTGTGGTTTTGCATATATGGGTTGTTTAATTAATTAGATTCTTATATTTATAAAGGAAATGTATTAATTAAACTGGGCTGTTGTTGGTGGAACATAATGAACAGGTATTTGCAGAGGTTATAGGCACATTCCTATTGGTGTTTGTGGGAAGTGGTACTGCTGGTCTTAGTGCTATTGATGAAAACAAAGTCTCAAAACTTGCAGCTTCACTTGCAGGAGGATTCATAGTGACGGTGATGATTTATTCTATTGGACACATCTCAGGGGCACACATGAATCCAGCGGTTTCTCTTGCTTTTGCCTCCGTCAAGCATTTGCCTTGGCCACAGGTTCGTCCGTATATTCATATATTCTAATATAATAATCCCTTCTTTTTGCACGTGGATTGTTTTCCACTCATTCTTGATTGAATTCATCGACACAACAATGCATTAAGATAAGAAAATATTAACACTGTTTATTTTAGCCATTATTATTTTATGCGTAAAACTTATTTTGCAAATTAACCTTTGTAATTTAGCTTTGTGTGTTTTATTTTATTAAAATAATTATATATTAAATAAAAAAAACTAATAAACTCAAACTAACTTTTTCACTACCGCTTTTGAGCCATAGACCAATTCTTATTCAGTTTAAGGTCAGCTTGTTTTTTAGTATTGAATAAATGCATACACATGATTAGTTCGCTAATTTTTCAATGTTGAATCGGATAGGCTAATTCAATTTTTAATTCTATGTATTATACACCTAACATGTGTAATTAACACTGTGGGAGACAAATGTGTTATTATTGTATCCATTTTTAATCACTAATAATTTAGGCTTAATATTTCATGAGATATGCAGTGTCGTACTAAATAGTTACGTTGACCCAAGTGCTCGAACGCTCCTCACCACTCCTTTGATTTTAAAAGATTTATAGTCACCAATATGGCATTAATAATATATAAATCAGTATAATTAACACAAATTGGAATATAATGTTTAAAATTAAATATCACAATAACTCATACCTGGTCTATTGCTTGTCGGGTGGTATAATATAAATAGTATTTCTCATGCTTAGTATATATATATATAGAAGGAAAATGATAACTGCACACAGAGTAATTTCTTCACAAAATCATCATATATAAACTCTTTTATAAGCTATGGAATAAAATAATTGTCTCACTATAACATTTTTTAAAATGGTTCAATGAAATTATCGTGGAATCTATAAAACTTCTGTAAAAATGGAATGGGGGAAAAATCCCATGTCTTTTTGGTCAATAAAAAAAAAATCTCGTAGTAAAATGACCTTGAAACCAACATGGGTCTATTTTTATTGGTTCAAGTCCGCGTCAAAACAGTTCCGCCAAGGAAAAAACAGGTACTGGTCAAGTTCACGTCTCACCTGGACCCACAATAATGTGTATGCATTTGCATCCAGAAATAATCTGAAATGTTCATTAAAGAAAAGGCCCACTAACTCTGTATGAATCCATACATGTGTGATGAGGTTTTGAACCACCCTTCTGCCACGAGATAATGCATAATAAATACCGTACTTGTTTACAGAAATTAATAAAATCTATTACTGATAGAATACTTATTATTTATTTTTAATCAATAGATTCTTCAGTGTATTGTAGTAAATTAGTTCATTTTAAAGGCACAGCTTCTCTTCCTTGTACTCCATGACAATTTAATATATATGGGTAAGTTTTGCATTATTGTTGTTTGTATTTTGTGAGAAGTAAATTAATAGGTTTAGCCCAACAAGGAGCCGACACAAGATGACAAAATGAAACAGTCAACGAAATAATTCAGTTGGATGAACTTGAATTCTTAGAAGGCAAGGTTGGGTTAAATTAACTATTTAGGTGGGTTTTAAAAATGAAGAATAATAAAAGAAAAATTATGTTTATACATTTTTGTTTAAGAAATGCATTTCAAAGATACATGCATACATATATAAAAAAATATGTACATACACAGGGAATGCCAATTTTTAGCGATTCAATTATTGTTGATTTGGACCCTTTCTAGAGAGGCACATAAATAGCACACAATTTTCTTGCAGGTCCCATTTTACGTTGCAGCTCAACTCACAGGAGCCATTTCTGCTTCATATACGCTGAGAGAGCTTTTTCAGCCATCTAAGCAAATTGGAGCAACGACATCCGCTGGATCCCACCTTCAAGCACTAATCATGGAAATGGTGACCACATTTACAATGGTGTTCATCTCCATGGCCGTGGCCACTGACCCAAAAGCTGTAAGAATAACACAAAATTAATTAAAGTTAATTTAATTGAAGCAATTAAATTTTTAAAAATTTTCAATTACATTATCTATATACATACCCTTTACCCTAAAATGTTGTCATTTGGCAGACAGGACAGCTTTCAGGAGTAGCGGTAGGTTCTTCGGTTAGCATAGCAAGCATTATCGCCGGGTAAGTATAGGAAAAAGAAAGTGTTCCGCTCACACACACATATTCACATTTTTACATTACAGGGATTACATGAGCATAGACAAAAATAAAATTAAAAATGGGAGACTCAAAATTAGAGGAAGCTAGGTGAGTTGAAAATAAGAGACATACATGAAAGAAGCCTGTGTTTTGAAAATTATTATTGTATTGTCCGTTTAAACAGACCAATATCAGGGGGATCAATGAACCCAGCAAGGACATTAGGTCCTGCAATTGCAAGTTCAAACTACAAGGGACTTTGGGTCTATTTTGTTGGACCAGTTACTGGGGCACTTTTAGCAGCATGGTCTTACGGTGTGATTAAGGAGACAGATCAACCAAGTGCATTTTCACTATCCTCCTTTTCATTCAAGCAGCGTCAGAGCAATATTAGAACTGACCAAGTTGGTAAATCCACCCACCGATGCTTGGTGTGAAAACATGCTTCTTGAATGACATGTCTTGGAGGAATATCCCAACTTCCACATGTATCATCATGTGTAATTATATATATAGTACCATCATCCGTAGTGTTATTAGCCCTATGTTTCAACTTTAAGGGTTTAGATATGTATATTTCGACAGTATGTAATATGCTTATCCTATATTAATGGAAAGTTAGTTTCATCAGAAATCGGATATGAATAAATTATGAGTCTTTCTAATCATTGCTGTAGCGAAATGTTCGTTATAAAATATATTTTTTATTAGAAATTACATTATAAATTTATTAAAAATTATACTAATAATATATTAATAGTGTTTTAATTTTTTAACAAATATCTTAAGATATTGATTAGTATTTATTATAAGTTATTAATGATAACTAAATGCAGGCCTGGACTGGTATAAGAGACAAATAATCATCATAATATTCTCAATTTAACGTCAATGAGTTATGAGTGCACCACTTACAAATCCATCAAGCGGTTTGGCATACGAAATAAATTTGATTAACCCCAACTATGTTCATCTACCAATTAAAAAACGTACGTTTTATTCCTATGGCTGTGGGAGGATTAAATATGTCATGAACCATGCATGGTGAGCAACAGATTAAGCACGACTCTTCTAAGATAAACGTTAAGAGATAGTTCGTACGCAGCAAAATAAATTTGATAATCTAAAACACAAATCACAACTCACAGGTATTACGTACGCTCACCTACCAATCATATGTGGAAATTCAAACTTATAGGGATAATAAAAACAAATCTAGGCAAATAAAGATTTTAATGTGAAAATTTTTCTTAATAAGAAAAATTACAATAAAAAAAGTACTGTATTAACAGTTTAACTTAAATTAGTTTTATTGGTTTAATTTTTATTTGATAAAATTAAACTGCAGTATATACTTTATAAATGTATACTCTATCGAGATAATATTAACGTGTACAATTAGCAGTTTTCCTAGTGAAAATAAATGCATACAACAACCAATACATCAACAACAACAGTTTTTAGTAACAATAACCTAACAACACAAAATCCAAAGAAAGAAGTGCAACAAAACAAAGCAGACAAATGCAGGATCAGAATTTGCAACCAAAATTCAAATCCTATATCCACCGTTCAAAATAAAGAACCTTGTGTCAGGAGCACTCTCACAATGTTTACCTAATCCAATTATAATAGATGTAAGAAAGAAAACTGCTTAAGAAAAACAAAATGGTGCCCTTTGAAACGTTTTTGCTTTTCTTCTCCGTATCTTTTTACTTTTTTTACTAATTTGGAGATCGTTACCCGTCTCCTTTATCCTTTATTCTACAGATAGGAATAAAAATCCACTTAAACTGGGTCAAAGAACTAAAATTGTCTCCACCCATGTTCAATTAAAGGATTAAAGTAACACATTTATTAATAGGTCACCTTCGAGTAATAGGGGAAACCTAACAAAATCGTGGAGCATGTACATTCTTTAAGTGAGCAAAGTATACATTCGATTATGACTTGACCCTTCTTGATCGCGTCTTTCACATAATACCCGATGACAGATGCAATCTTAATGTCTCGCACACCATATTTGTAGCACTTGGAGTTGAGTGTGTTGAAAAAATTAAATAGAACAAACGATAAAAGGAATACAGTAGTAAAGTCAATAATAATAAAAAGTACCAAGGGTAGGCTCGATTTCATCCATTATCTAAAGAAGGGTAGGTTTGCAATGGTGGAAAGAAATACAATATCTAATTAATGAGCACTAAAACCTACTAATTAATTATTAAGACGACTTGACCATCCTTGATCCCGTTTTTCACATAATACCCAATGACATGAACAATCTTGCAGGCTGGCACGCCACATGGAGTTGAGTGTATAGCAAAATTAAATAGCACTTAAAATAAACAAATACTATAGTACTAAAGTTAATTAACAACGTAAAGTACCCGGGGCAAGATCAATTTCATCCGTTATCTAAAAGGAGGGTAGGCTTGTAATGATGGAAAATAAAGAAACTACAATAGCTAATGAGACTCTTCTTTAGAGTGCAAACAATGAGTGCCCATGAAGGCATTTGTATGATTTGCTTACATAAACAACATGAGTCTCAAATTGATTTTGAATATAATTATTTATGAATAACAAATGGTCAAGTTGACTGCCATGTACCAATAACGCCAATAAAGGCCCCTTTTCAGACTTGGAGGTAAGCATGCATGAGCTCGTTCTAAAGTATATTTATTAGTTTTTTAATACTCTTTAAGTATAATTTTAAAATATAGAAATAATTAATTCTTAAGTTTTTAATAAAATAAATATTTTTATTTTATTTCAAACGTTTTAAAATGAAAATTAAAAAATTTATGAAGATTAATTAAAGGAACTTTTAATTGAAAAAACTAAAAACAAATTAGACCAACACTGTTTAGTACGTATCTTAAAGAACAGGCAGACTCAATTTCACCCACTATCCAAAGCAGGGGTAGGCTAAGGATGATGACAAAAAGAAAATCCAATATCTAATCCAATTCCCTACTCGACCATCCTTGAGCCTATCTTTCACATAACACATATATATCGACAAGTGGCACATCGTATTTATATATAGCACATGCAGTTGACAGAATGGCCAAATTAGAAAGAGTTTTAAAAAAACGACTATAGTAGTAAAGTTAATACTCATTAGCAAGTTTTTGGGTATCACAGAAATATATTTTTTAATTCAAAATTAAATTTAACAAATAATATTTGAAAAGATTAAAAAAATAAGAAATAAAATTAAATATTCAATATAAAAAAATTTAAGTAGCATAATAAGAATATAAAAATATCTTAAACATGAGATTCTGAGGATCATATGTGCAAGTGTGAGCATTTAATTCTCTCTCCTTAATTATTTGAAAGATTATACATATGTAAGTGTGTGTTTGCAATTTTATAATTTATATCTAATTGTATGTATTAAAGTATTTGTTTGTTTTCAACCCAAAAAAAGGGGGGGGGGGGGGGGGGGAGAACTATGTGAAGCTAAAATTTATTATTTTCACCAATGATACTCGAAGATGCCAAAATAAGAAAGTAAACTTGATTCTAAATTTCTAATGAACAACTCAAAAGTTTGTTTATTTTAACTTTATTTTAGATGCATTCTAAACTTTTCCCTGCTCAGACAGAATCAATTCCATCCATTATGTAAAAGTAGGGTAGGATTGCGGAGATGAAAAGAACATACGATAAACTGCTTAGCTAAGAGTCTAAAGTTAAAAAGCGAAAACAATGAACTGAATTTTAAAGGGCACATAATTAATCAGTGTCCTAAAGGCACATTAATTTATGTTTCCATAGATAAAGACATGATTATGCACACCGCATGGGGTGGTCACAAATTGGGTTTAATTTAATGAATGTCATTAAAAATATTTTAAATAATTTATACATTTTTTTATTAATTTATATAAATTAATGATAGATTATACTTATCTTATATTTTTATTAATTATTAAATAATTTTTTTAAGATATGAGACTTAATTCATATTCTTAAAAAGTTAAGAGAATTAAACATGAACAATTAATTAAAACTAATAAAAAGACTCATATCACATGTAAGATAAAGTATTAAAATTAATATATAATTAATTTTTTTTATAAATTTTCTCAAAATTATAATTAATAATTTCTAAACAAAGTTTAATAAAACTTGAAATCACTTGTTTTTTTAATTTCGATCAACCAAATACTTTATCTCATTATATATTATGGCATGATACTAATTGCAGAATAGTGAGCTGGCTCATCACAAGTAAGCTTAAAGTTAACTAACTTAATTCAATCATTCTCTTTTGAGACAAGTCAAATAAAAACCAACTTAAATAATTTATCTGACTGATTTAGTAGATTAACTCAAGAGTTAACCCATATATATATTTTAAAAAATAAATTTGTTTTATCATTATTGACAAGTAACTTCTAGTATTTTATACAATTAATTATTATAAAAAATTAGAATTTTCTAATTTTCTACCAATTTCTAATTTTCTAATTTTTTGTATTACAATAGTAGGTGAAATCAACTCATAGTAAGTTAATCTACTATAATCCACGAGTTAAGTCAAGTCATAAAAACTTACAATGATTAAATTTTAAAAATTCAACTCACTAGTGAGTTGGATTAAGTCCAGTAGGCTAACGAGTTCATTATTATCTTAAAATATATAAGTCCTCCTCTTACCACACAACTGTGCTACCACTTATATAGCACTCACCACCCATTGTTTTAGATTTTCGAATAATATGCACCTTCAAAATTTATAACAACACGAATACATTTTTCTTTTGTCGACACACTTATACCTAAATTTCTTTGTTCCCGCCATTTACTACACCTAAAGTGAGATCGATGGAAAACAAAGATGCTACTTTGTTGTTTCCGATACTGGTAAAAAAAATTTCAATATCTCCGGAATTAAGTTTTATATTTGCGAACGAACGATAATTATACAGAAAATGTTGTTATATTTTCTTACATATTTTTTAATAATCTTTTTTTTATTTTATAAAATAAATATTATATTATATGTATAAATAATATATAACACTTTCTTTATTTAATAATTAAAATTTATCAATATATATATATAAAGTGAATTTAAAATGATTCTATTACTAACCACTGTTCAACTCTTGTCAACTTGTTTCTTAATTAATTTAGGTGATAAACTTGATGATATGAACATGAAAGAAAATCTAAAGCAACAAATAATTGATTATATAGTAATATAATAAAACTACATTTTCAATCTCATGAGTATTTTACAATTACAAATAATTGCTAATACCTTTCTCTGTTTAGACAAATAAATTTATATTTTGAATAATATTATTAACTTTTTATTATTTTGTAAAATCAATTCAAAATACTTAAATTTAAAGACGTGTGAATAAACTCTGATGCTATATAAAAAATTAAAAATGGATTGAAGTTAAGTGGTTCCAAAATTTTAACTCAAAAGACAAAAATTGTCTATAAGGTCAAAATTCATAGAAAGTAATCTCCCACTCCAAATCAAATTAAAACATATCTTAACATAGAGCAAACAAATTAAGCCAAAATCTATAACTGAACTCAAAATAGGCTAAATCTTTTTTTTTTAATGAATTTGGTTTCCTTTTCTTCAAATTAGTGCAATTTTATTCATTACATAGAATTTATTTAA